ACATCATCACATGTCCATTCATTGACCGATTTATTTTCGTGCGCAGTGGACAAGATTTTCACAGATTCTTCACTCTTTGGAGCGGAGTTCGAGGTTAACTTTGAACTTTCGTCACCGAAGGTCGTATCAATATGTTTCATCTCCACTTCGAGCATGTCGAACGCTTTGTTAAATTCATGTTTCGTGAAATCAATATATATACGAGATCCGATGATAAAACCAAGCCAATTCTTAGCTTTATATTTCGATTGAGCTACGATAGGTACAATATGACGTTGCAGAACGTACGCATAATCAGCCTCATGATGACAAGCATTACTACGTTCATAGTTTGCACTCATGCACAGTATGATACACTCGGAGTTCTCAATGGCACTAGCCATAGCTCTTACCGAGCTTCCGTGCATATTTTCCTCATCGAACCACACTCGATATCCCTTGCTTCTTAAATGCTCAAAGATCGGTTTACAAATTGTTTTCTCTGCCCAACAATAACTAAGCATTAAATCGAATTGATAGTTTCCAGTAGAGAATGGTTTTCGTTGTACACTTCAAAATACGAAGAAGACACACATTAGATAGAAACACAAAAAAAATAGTGAACAAAATATTAATACTTGTCTAATTGAGTGTTTTTATTTTCAACATTCGTCGATTGTTCAGGTGATGTGTTCTTTTCATTTCTGTGATTCAAATTCCACAAAATACCTTCTGCTGATCGTACTATATCTTTATCCAAAACCGATTCTGGATCATTGACAAATGTTTGGAGTCGCTGCAAAAAAGTTTTATGAGAATGAAATTTTTCGTGTAAGCTTGTATTAAATGACAGTGTCCAAAAGATGTCATAAACCAGATTATAATCATCACTCATTGAAATAAGATAATCAAAATAATTGGTTGATGTTGCTACACTTGCTTGAATTATCTGATTATGAACTAACGATGATAATGCTCGAAAAAGTAAGTGTATCGGCACTCGTTTGTAGCATTTGTTCGATGATTGATGTGCCTGTCGAATGGCATCAAAATATAAGTCGGTTAATTCATCACCTGGAATCTTTAATTGTCGCATTGTTTCATCATCAAGTAATACTCCAAGCAACATACACGCTTGTAAACGAAGTCGATCATAATCAGCATGCATATAATTATGAATTGCGTCTGCTGCATTATTCTGTTGTAAATATAATCGTATAGATGGTTCATTGCTGCAATTCTTCAATTGTACCATCAAAGTATCGGCAAGAATTGTGCTTTCATTTGTCCAAGTAGAAAAAAGATTTTTTCGTACAAAATCAGATTTTAACAACTGAAGAAGAAGATTGAAATATTCATCATTGTTAATAAATGCTTTTACATTGTAACAATTGGTCATAAGAAAACAGATTCCAGTAAGACATTTTCTATCGTTTTCTATATCTTTCAATTGAAAAAGATAATGATGAAAATCAGCTAAACGAACATCAAATATTTTCTGTCCAATAGATTCCACGATTTTATATGATTGAATAGTCTTTAAAGCATTTTCAAAAGATAATTGATTACACTGTAAAACACCCGTAACAAAGGAGCACGTGCGAATAAAAAAGTGACGAGCAGGAATATTTGTTTCTATTGACGGTGTCAAATATTTTTGGTACCAATCGGAAAGAACACATGATAATACACTTTGACGAAGTGGCTCAATTAATTCTTTAACTAAATTGTCATGACGATGAATAAAATGAGCGATTGCTTCAAGCCAGATGCAGAGACAGATTACAAAATCATGTCGATGAAAATGATCGTCAGTACGAAGTGTATCGATAATTGTGACGAGATTTTGAAGAATATCAACATTTAATAAAACTTGTATTTGAACATTTATTTGTTGCTTATCATTTGTATTTTTAGTAGCAACAGATTGATTGAACAATCCGACTTGTTCAATATATTTTAAACGGCTTTGAGTATTCTTGTCGACATTGTTCAGACAATCTTGTAAAAGATTAAATGCTGTTTGTTCGATCGAAATTAACAATGAGATGAGATCTGATGAACATAAAATATCGTCAGTATTAACAGATTGTAAAGCACCAACTGCTTCATTCAACTGATTCTCTTTCACCAGCTCACAAACGTAGAGAACTTGCTCTTTTATTCCACCATTCGCCATGTTTCAATAACTAATTTCTTCTTGTTTAAATTTTTCAATGAGAAATAGTCGAGAAAAAAACACAAGTGTCTTATTCTTTTTCTATTCTGTTTGCGTTGCTATGCTCTGGAAATTATTTAAAAAGAGAACAAAAAATGCCGATGTTGATCATTCAGAGTGAGTTCTCATCATACTGTTAGTTTTTTTTTTCATTTTTTCTGTATGACTTCTATTGACATTTTTGTGTCCTCGTTCATAAGGAATCAATTTTTTTTTCTTCACCAAAATCGAATTTTCGTTGCGTTTTTGACCCATGTCTACTGGTATGCTATTGGGGCGAGTGATATAAGACGCACGTAATGCATACGAAGCATGACCATCGTACATTACACATACTCACTGTAACAGTCGTTCGTAACGCGCACAAACTATTATGTTGCTCTTTTTTTCAATTGGCTTATTTCCATGAACCAGTAAAAAAAAAGAAAAGCAAATTATTAATAAATCGTTTAGTTTTTACTATTTGTAAGATCGACATTACCATGGTAGTTGCTGGAATAAAGACACCTAACTGCTTGAAAAAACTTTGTTCAAAAAAATTTCGATAAAAAATTTGTGTAAAGTTGTGCATAAAAGTTCTAAAAAATTATTAAAACATATTTTCTGAATAATGTTGCATGAATATGTATATAGATATCGCTACAATCAGAAAGGGTTTTACATCTCCTTCAAAAGGTATTATTTTCTGTAGGCAAATGATTTCGTATATTCAAACTGAAGAAAAAAACTTTTCTGTTAACACGTAATTTAATTAAAAATGTTATCAATGTGAAGTTCGCATCAGATTGATTATATATAAATGATTTAATATAGTAATATTCTGGCAACTTTTTAGATCATCGTTTTTATTTTGTGTCCATCATGATTAGTATTTAGTAGTAGATCTCTTAGCAATCGTCTGATACTCTTCTAGTCTATTAGGTTTTATTTATTCGATGAACAAATCGTGTAAAAATCGGTCGGGTGTGGGGTGTGGGTGGATGAGGGGTGTGGGTGTGGATATGGGATGTGGGTGTGTAGATCTGGGTGTACGTATTTTCTCTACCGACACCCACACCCACACCACACCTACACACCACACCCACACCCACACCCACCCACGATTATCATAGTTTACTTTATTGACATGCGATTGCCTTTCATTAGAATTAGTGTGCAAATCTTAATGCAATGCACTAAACTGAAGCACCTCTTCTTGAAATATCGGATGCTAATGGAGATTTTCATATTTATGAGTTTTTCGCGGATGTAACTTATGATTCAAAAGTGGAAATTAATTTTTCTGATTCCCTATGCCATGAGGATGTGGGTGTGAGTATTTATTTCCTGTATACTGACACCCACACCCTCGTTTCATTATTTGCATTTTATCTTGATAAATTGATTCTTCTTTATCGTACATTGTTCTGTTCAATTTGTGAGAAGGTAAACTATATTTTTTGTAGTCTTTGCTCGAGCCATAAAAAAAATATTTAATTGTTCCTTGATGACGTGGATTTTTGGCCATCCTGTATCAACCGAGAGTTTTTCGCTACAGTAAACTAGCACGCAAAAATACAGAGACATAGATATTTGCTATTTTAAACAGAGTTTTTGTAATGTCTCACGATTTATTGAAGACTCCAAAGAAGATATTACATCATGATTAGAATAAAACAGTATTTTTGTTAGAATAGTAATTGAAATGAATACTACTGGTATTAATAAGCAAAAAAACGTTTATTGTTAATCGATTTATAGTAGTTAATATAATTCAGCACTACTCAAACGATTAATACCATTAGCTCCACCAGTAACTAACACTTTTCCATCAGTTAATACTGATTCAGTATGATCAAATCGTACATTATTTAAGTTGTCAGTGATGGTCCAACTACCTGTTGATGGATCATACAACTCAGCACTATTCACAAAAAAAGCTCCACCGGTAACTAACACTTTTCCATCGGTTAATACGGATGCTGTGTGATCAACTCGTGCATAATTTAAATTGCCAGTAGTTGTCCAACTACCTGTTGATGGATCATATAGCTCAACACTCTTTAGAATATTACTAGTATCATTCGTTCCGCCAGCAATTAACACTTTTCCATCGGTTAATACAGATGCTGTGTGTCCCCAACGTCTATTATTTAAGTTGCCAGTAGTGGTCCAAGTTCTCGTTAATGGATCAAATAACTCAGCACTATTTAGAGGAGTAATACCAGTAGTATTCCTTCCACCAGTTACTAACACTTTTCCATCGAGTAATACGGATGCTGTCTGCTGATATCGTGCATTAGTTAAATTGTCAGTAGAGGTCCAACTACCTGTCGACGGATCATACAACTCAGCACAATTCATATTACCCTCTCCACCAGTAATTAATATTTTTCCATCAGTTAATACTGATGCAGTATGACCCGACCGTCCATTATTTAAGTTGCCAGTAGTGGTCCAAATACCTGTTGATGGATCATACAACTCAGCACGATTCATACTACCCGCTCCACCAGCAACTAACACTTTCCCATCAGCTAATACGGATGCAGTATGAGAAGATCGTGCATTATTTAAGTTTCCAGTGGTGGTCCAACTGCCTGTTGACGGATCATATAATTCCGCACTATTCATGTTACCACTGTCGCCATATCCAGCAGCAACTAGTACTTTTCCATCGGTTAATACAGATGCTGTGTGCATATATCGTGCGTAATTCATACTGCCGGTATTAAGCCATTCTAAAAGAAGCATCTAAATGTATTCAGTTTGAAAACCACCATACTATCCAACAATGAAAACTTTCTGTTCATGGACGGAGTGTTTTTACATATTGTGAAATGGAAACTGTTTGTGACTTTGAGAATAAACTTTTATAACGCTGTGTAGACTAAGAAAATGTCTCAGGTTTGTCGCACAGAACTCGTTTTCATGTGGTAGAAACGAAACAAATTTTTCGTTGTTGCTACTAGATCTTTTCTGAGAACAGCCGATAAATTCATGTAACGCTTTGGATAACAAGACTTGTGTAGGTTGTAAAATTACAGAGCCTTGAGCAAAATGTTCTCAGATCTTCCTACAGTTATACATTAACTAATTTTATGAAAAAAAAGTCCTATGTGTTACACATTTGATGTTTACACGGAGTTCTACTGACAATCTCGTCTTCGTATGAAGGAAAAACAAGGCATTAAACTACCGTAAAGTCAGTCACTATGTTACTTATCGTCGCATAGTATTGAAAACTTCAACCTGTTTCAATTCTCCTTCTCACTCTTGACTTGCCCTACTTGTCCTATCGCATCTACAGAGTTGTGCATAACCTTTTGCTAGGAAGGTAACGCTATGATTTCAAGTTGAACAGCTCATGAATTTTATACCAGATTAAAGCTCGTGAAAAACTGGATTCAGGACTATAGCTAACAATTCAAAAGATAAAGAAGAT